TATATACTAGACAGTCATGTGTTGGAAGATATCGTATATACTAGACAGTCATGTATTGGACGATATCGTATATACTAGACAGTCATGTGTTGGAAGATATCGTATATACTAGACAGTCATGTATTGGACGATATCGTATATACTAGACAGTCATGTATTAGACGATACAGTATATATACCAGACAGTCATGTATTGGAGGATATCGTATATACTAGACAGTCGTGTATTAGACGATACTGTATATATACTAGACAGCCATGTATTAGACGATACAGTATATATACCAGACAGTCATGTATTGGAGGATAGTGTGTACATAATACACAGTCGTGTATTAATGTATCGTAGGTTTGACGTTTCTCAGGAAGTTTCTGTTCACCTTGTACCTTCGTATTGCTCCAGATGTGAACGAAACGTGAGCGAATTCCAGATATTTTTATCTTTTTGGAATTGAAGTGAATGTTTTCATTTTCATTCAGGTTCTATTGATAAAGTTGTCATATAATATCTTTCTTTTCTACTGTTTATGTTTAACTTCGTTTAATGTCTAAAGAAGTTGATGTTGCTTTTATTTGTTTCATTGCAGACTTATATATTTTTATTTGAGATAAAGAAACGTCTGGATGTTATCCAACTAGACTGGAGATCGTATATATTGGGTTAGTTTGGAGAACGGGCATTTGGTCTCAACATTTTCTGTAAACAAGTTCAGACATTCAACCAATATCAACTGACGTGAGGGACTTTCTGTACATATGCATTCTCTTGAAAACATTCGCTTACAAGCACGTGACATTCTATTTCACGTCGCTTCTCATTTTTGGGGGGATTCATTACGAACTCCTGGTGTTATTTTTTTCCATTTTCTCTTGATCAGAAATTTACAGTAAATATTCAAGGAAACATTGAGTTGAAGTCTCTACAGAAGTAAATCAGTTGTATAAACATGATATTTATATCTTTCTGTCTCCTCTTTAATGTTCCATTTTGAATCACATTTTTTACGACTCGTATGAAATATTAAAAGTAAAAAACGAACAACGGTTTGGTAGACAAATCTTTATTTTACTCAAACTCACATCAAATTCACAGAGAGGTTATAAAGTGACATTATTTATTAGATATGTTTATCTACTACTCTTACTTATGGACCTAGAAAGTCGGCGTTTTTAAAGTCTTCGTGTGTTTTTGTTTTGAGCGCCTTAGTCACAAGTCACAGTATAATATCTATCGTTTTTACCACTAATCTAAAGCACATTTACACAACAAAGAACATATTATTTTGTATATACTACAACATTAAACATCCAACTCAACAAGACGAACCAAACTAAGAAACTACAGAAAGCTTCTAGAAACATCTGTCAATCATGTTTGAGCCTATTTTTCTTCAGAAATTTTGTAATTAAGCACAAAGCTACACAATGGGCTATCTGTGTTCTGCCTACCACGGGTATCGAAACCCGGATTATAGCGTTGTAACTTCACAGACATACCGCTGTACCACTGGGGGGCTATCTGCTGTGTCCGCCAGAGGGAATCTAATCCTGGATTTAAACGTTGTTTAAGTCCATGATAATAACGTGAAGGGAGAGGTAGTATTTAGGAGACATTTTTCATCAATCACTTTGAAGCAAAAAATACGATATTCATACCAAGTAACTTGGATAGGATATTAATAACTAGTAACTACGATAGGATATTAATATCGAGTAACCAGGATAGGATATTAATATCTAGTAACTACGATAGGCTATTAATATTGAGTAACCCGGATAGGATATTAATATCTAGTAACTACGATAGGATATTAATATTGAGTAACCCGGATAGGATATTAATATCGAGTAACCAGGTATCCTGGTTACTCGATATTAATATCCTATGGATA